ATTTACAAGTAGAATACGTCCAATCAGATTGGAACGCCGGGTATACTACTCTAACACATTTGGTATACTTTTTTTTTATAAATTATAGATTAGATCCATTTGTTAAATTGAAATTTAATAACATTTAAAAAAAATTGCAATTGAGTCCCTTGAATATGTCAAATTCTCAAAATTATGCCAAACTCAAAAATATTCTTCAGCTCTCTCTTCCACCAGCAACCATCACCGTCACCCCTCCATCTCCAAACTGTAAACGCCACCGGAGAACAGTCGCCGGAAAAAAGGTCTATCGCCGAACATGGTAGAGAGCGCTCAAAATCAATGTCAAGACGGAGCATGTTGAGAGTGGTGGCGGCGGCGGGCTATGGCATAAGATGTGCGGGTGTTGGCAGCGACGGAACAATATGCCTTTGCCGGAAGCGAGATGGTGGTTGCAAGCAGAAGCAAGCGTGAAGTTTGGGCTGTTTGTTAATGGCGGACGTCACCGGTGGCCACGATGGGCAGTAGTTGCGGGGTTGCTGAGTGCGACCATCTGTGTGGCGGACGGCAGCGCGACGGGCTGGTGGGAGTTTTGGCTGGAGTTGCGAGCGGATGTCGGTTTGTAGCTTGGGCGGTTGCAAATGGCGGACTTCTCCGGTGGCCCCGACGGACGTCAGCAACGGCGTTTCGGTGGTGGGCCATCACTGCCGCAGACGGCGGCAGTCTTCTCTGTTTGTGCAACTGTGAAGGTGGGTGTGTGTGTGTATGTGTGAGAGAGAGGGTGGTGTGTGAGTATATGTGTGAGAGAGGGGGGTTTTTGAACCTGATTTAGGGATAGAGATGAGGTGTGGTGAAGGGTTGGGCCCACACCATGATATGTAAAATTTTAAAATCACTAAATTACCTTTAATGAGTGTCAAATGACCAAATTACCCTGAATGAATTTGACCATAATTACTAACTTTTACTTCATCATGACCATTGATATGTTAGATTCAATGGTTTACAGTCATTCTTATTTCCTTCATTATCTCCTATTCTCATATGATCCCTTCTCTCTCTCTCTCTCTCTCTCT